GTTCCTTATGGATAGCGGCAGATCGTTCCACAATATAGGCTAGAAAAAGCGCGAGATCCGTAGTTCTTAGTTCTGAACTTTGGTCTTGATAGGCGTAAGTGGTCGTTAGTATTAGACCGTAGGACTCTGTTTGGCTTGAGTAGGGTGAGCAAATCAATCAGGTAGCCAGGTGCCATGCCATTTAAGACCTTGTAAGTAATCAGCAGGATCTTGTCGGATGCGCTTGCGTACAGGGAGCCAATGAAGATTGCGTAAAATAGGTGTGAAAAAGTGATATGTCATCCTAATTTTAGTGACAAGACGAGCAGCAGAGTTTTGGATACGTTGGAGTTTGGAAATGTATAATGGCATTGAGATTTGAGCAAAACTGATAGGAACTATGGGATTTGTTCTAAATGGGGACTGGAAAATAGGCCTTTTCTGAGTTCGATAAACAGGATGCATTGCGGTGTAGGCTCAGTACAAACAACACCATATAAGGCATGATGGCAAAAAGATGTTTGTACCGAATCTACAATGCACATAATCGCTAGGACACTCCCTTTCCTCCTTAAGCTTCAGGACCCTCTTTTGATATCATTGTTATGGGCCTCCTGTGTTTCTACCGCTGCTTTCAAATTCCGCGGGCACTTCATTTTCCCCGAGAGCGACTCCATGAAATAAAACACAGCATAGTGTTTTGTTAGCTGTTTAGCAAATCTTTAGTAAAAACACCAAAAATACACAGCCATGTCTTTGGAAGACGAGGTTTTCAGGATTGGGAAACAGCTGGAAAAGATCGTGTCTCAAGAAAAAGACGTAAGTTTTCCCATTGCCAGGAATCAGCGCTCGACCATGTGTTTATGATCATAAAAATAGCGCCAAACTCACAGAAATACATCCAGCATTTCATTCAAAAGAACTGAAACTGACTTTGAAATCAAATATTGCAAAATAAGACTCTTTTTTTGTGTGTGTGTGTGTATATCGTAAGGAAAAGCGGTTTCTTACTGTAGTTGATGAACTAGAAAAAAGTTGCTTTATTAGTGTTTACACATTTATGATTTTGATACCGGTTGACCAAACGAAAATTATCCAAGCAAGGGCGACGTGTCAACCAAATTGTTAATGCAAAGCCTAACTTAATAATTCAAGTTCTTTTTAGTTTATGCACCCATGTTAAGCCCAGCTGGGGGGAGTTGGGGGACTCCAGGGGAATATGACATTTTGATTTTGAAATTTAAAAATTCCCCACCCCCAGAGCACTGATGAAATTGAAATTTCCATTCTTAGTACACAAGTCTCAAACCCAGGGCACTTTACAAATGTAAAGTTTTGATCTTTTTTTCCTTAGGCAATGGACCAGCTTGCTGCGAGAGATTTGTTAAAAAATCTTAAAGACCTACCCATAACATTAGAGTGCTTGCAGGTACACATATGCAATCAATAGTAATAATTAAGAAATATGAAACTTGTGCCGCCCGGGGGTGGGGGTGCTCCCCTATATTCGCTATACAGGTATGTGCTGCCAAACAGGGTATGGTTTTCAGTGATTCTACTCTGGAACAGGGTATATAAAATCACGCTTACTCTGGGACAGGGTATATGAAATCATGCTCTCTCCTCTCTGGAACAGGATATCTATTTTCACACTACCGGAAAAGGGTATGGTTTTAATCGATCTTGCTCTGGAACAGGGTATGAATTTCAGTGATTTTACTTTGGAACAGGATCATGGTTCAGAGGGCTCAGCAGCACATCCCTACCCTAAACGGGCAAGAGTACCCTCCCCCCCGGAAGAAATATTAGGAGAAGCACAAGGCCTAGCCAATTCCTAAGTGCATTTGTGACTTCACAAATAACAGCAATTTATTTTACTATTACATTTCTTTTATGAAATGCAAATTAGAGTAGCCATTATTTTAGACACATATGACGATGAACTGCTCATAAATACTGGTATTTTTTTACATTTTATTTAAACATATTAACTCTCTGTGTTCTCTCCAAGAGCTAGGCCCAATACTGGTATTATATTATGGTCCTATATTTTCTTTGTTTTCTTTCTCTATTGCTATTCTTCCATGCTTGCATGGATAGGATTTAACTTTATTACTTTCATTTTCATTCACAGAAAACAAGGATTGGAATGTCTGTGAACACTTTACGAAAAAAGAGTGATAACTCGGATGTTCAAGTCATGGCAAAGTCTCTCATCAAGTCTTGGAAAAAGCTTCTTCCTGGTATGTCATTTACTGAACAGAAAGAAAACAATAAAATGGAAAGGATTATTCATTGTGGATAGAAATCAAAAGATTATAACTATTCAATAGCCCACTTTTGAGATATGCTTCGCTTGTCAAGCACAAATGTTTCAGTATGAGGCTACATGCTAAATGCTCAGTCATTCGTGACAGTCGGTAAGAATTAATTTAATTTAGCATGTAGCCTCATACTGAAACATTTGTGCGTGACAAGCAAAGCATATCTCAGAAGTGGGCTATTGTCTCACAACTGTAGCAGTTGGGAGGACTGTGATGTTTTGAATGCCACTGCCAGTCTTCATCAGGGGATGGTGTAGACTGGAAGGTGATCTTCATAAGTCTACATAACCTTCAGGTCTACACCATTGCCTGATGAAGACTAGCAGTAGCACATAGCAGTCAAAATGTCGCAGCCCTCCAACTGCCACATTCAGGAGACAAATGAATAAGTATTATTTGCACATGGTATGTGCTGTGTGTTGATATAAAGCAGATGGAGATTAGTAGACAAAAGAAGTTTTAGGAGAAGTATGGTTAGCAGCAGTTTGTTTCAACACCTCTAAAGTATTCTGCCATTCTTTAAAAAAATACACATTGGAATAATAGCCTTTATTTTGGATATTAATGATAAATAGAAAAGCATTGAATGTGTTGCAGTATGTGCTCTAATAAAGCAATCATGTCCCCAAGCAATATTGGAAAGCAAGATTTGAAACAGTTAGGCAGATTGAAAAAAAGATAATGCTGATTTAAGACAACAGTGGTTAGCTCATTAGTTTTGAACAAGATTTAACAATGACATTTCTACAGTGGCTCTTCATATGAATCCACTGAATTCAAATTGGAGTTTAAAAGTTGATTTTTGAGGAGGGAGCAAAACTGGAGAACCTGGGGGGAAAACCCTCAAAGCACAGGAGAGAACCAAACAACTGTACTCACGTATTCTGATTCTAATTCTGGTGCTATTGTGAACAAGCCTAAGTGCATTCATAATATCAAGATTGTTAAAATCACGAGTTCATTGTCATAATTATATTTATAGAGAAGTCAAATGATCAGGACAGCAAAGGAGACAACAACAAGCTACTACAGAGTGAAAAATCAAGTCGTAGTACCTCGCCAGCCCTTAGTACTAAGTCTGATTCATCAGAAGCATCATCTATGGACAAGAAAATAGTGTCATTTCCCCAAGCAGCTGCCACCAACAATTCTGTCAGGGATAAATGCAAAGAAATGATCCAGAATTCATTGAAAGTTGTAGAAGGCTTTGAAGCTAGTAAGTTTGTGTAATGAGCTCTTGTATATTACAGCATAATGTATATTATATACCTATTTATTATATAGTTAGGATAGTATTGTACATGTGCGCTGATTGGTTGAAAACTGTGTTTTATTGGTGAACGGAGCACAGTGCTGACACTATCCGCTTGTGCAAAGTGCTGCTAGATCCCGCAATGGTCTTCTTTTTTGCATAAATAAATTCGATACTGAAAAAATAGTAACTATATAATAAAACAAATGAAACAGCTTTTTCTGTGCTCCATTCAGCAATAAAGCACTTAGGAAGGGCCGTAAGCACTCAAGAAGTGTGAGAAGCACTCGCCTACAGCTCGTGTTTCTCCTTACTTTTCTTTTGTGCTTACATCACATCCTGCGTCTTTTATTACGTCACCCGTATACCGCCACCCGGTAGCTCAGTTGGTAAGAGCGTTGGTCTGTTGTGCGGGAGGTTATGGGTGAAGCCTCAGCCAGACCAACACTCAGGGTCTTAAAATAGCTGAGGAGAAGGTGCTGCCTTTTGTAATAATATCTGCAAATGGTTAGACCTTCAAGTCTTCTCAGATAAGGACTTAAAACCGTAGGCCCTGTCTCCCAACCCTTCCTAACCTGCAGTAAAATAGGGGACATAAAAGAACCTGTTGAATTATTCGTATAAGAGTAGGGGATTGTCTCCCGGTTCAACAGCCTATCCCAATCTGGAGGCATAATACTAACATACTAACAAATCACTCATGATTGTAAGCTTCACGGCTGCTACTAGCGCTTCAATGTGCAGCCTGTAAAGTCCTCCACTAATCTCGTAAAGCGCTATTGAGCTCCTGGAAATGGTGCAATATAAATTCATCCCTTTACCCCTTTTTTTATTATTACGGAATGGAGTACGGAAAAAGCTGTTTTATTTATTTATTCAAAAAAGTTGTCCCAACCAAAGGCAATAGGCAATAAGCTGGAATAACTAGTGTTTCAATAGCCATACAATAGCCAATGGTCAGGGCCTACTGGTAGGGCTTTTGGAATAAGCTGGCAGCTGCCTGAGCTACAGCGATTGGTTCGAAGTTAACCGTCTGTTCCTTGTATTGGATCACAGCCAGCTACTTCAGACTTACAGCTGTATGACTACCCACTCCAAAGCATTCTAAAAGCCCTGGCTCATTTTGGTCAAGGACTAAAATGTTTACTTTAACAAAATGGCCAAAGAGTGAACATGCATGAATACATGCTGAGTGTCAATGAATATGCTATACATCCTGTTACCCAATCAGAAAATATGTTTACCTTAACTTAATAAGATTTTATTTTTATGTTTAAGGTCCTGAAGTTGTTGCCTCAAGAATCGAGCAGTGTATCCTTTAAAACTCTTTAGTTTCTCAAAAATATAGTATTTCACTAGATTTATAGTCACTGTGAGAACACTTGAACCATAAACACTTTGAGTTTTTTGTCACTTTTTTAAATGCTTAATGATAATCATCCCTTGAGGCAATCAGTCGGCTCAACGATATTGGCCAAAATGACCAACGAGGCATTGGTTTAACCAGACAAGTTCCCATTCTGGCTGGACAATGTACGATAATTGGCAGTTACTGTATTTTAATAAAAAGGCTGATCAATACTAATCTTATTTAAGGACATTTTTTTCAAGGAAAAGTGGACAAAATAATATGTAATTCATATGATGATAACAAAGTTATGATTTTTAACTGTTATAAAGGTATATTTGATGAATTCAAAGATACCAATGTAAAGTATAAGCAGAGAATACGAAGCAGGGTCAACAATTTGCGTGATCCTAAAAACCCAATGTTAAAGGCAAGAGTATTGGGTGGAGAAATACCCCCTGAAAGATTTGCCGTCATGTCTTCAGAGGTATGCTTTATACCAGGCTAGAATGCTTTTAATGCATTATCATATCCAGATCCTTCTCACCAAAAAATTAAAGGCTCTGGTAACACACAAACTGGAAGACCCAGATTCTAGGTCGTCAGATACACACATGCTCCACATATTCTGACTTCCGTTACATGTAACTTACTTGTAGTATTCAAATTTCAACTGTTGGCTGTAAAATCAGCAAACTGGAAACAGATGATTATGCAAAAAATTTACACCAATCAAATTAATGGTTGATTTGTGTGTTACTAGTGCCTTCGATCTTTTGTTAGAAAGCTGTGAAGGCTTTCTTTACGAGAATGGCCTTTAATGTTTCTAGGGAAACAGTGGTGACATAGTGGTGAGAACACTCGCCCTTCACCACTCTGACCTGAGTTTTATTCCTGTACTAGGTGTCGTGAGTCGTGATTGTTCATTCTCTCCCTTGCTTTAAAGTTTTTCTCCAGATTCTGCCAAGAGAACCCATGAAATATGAATTCCTCATTCTTTAAATCAATCCTAAATGCTAGTCAAAATCATAGCAGAATTTCTATTATCCGAACAAGGACTTAAAACCATATAGTTTAGGCCCTGGCCCATCTGTCTTCACCCTGTAGCCCTGTATAAGACAGCTTAAAAAGACCCTTTGAAGACGCTATGCTAGAAAGTTTCATGTCAAATCCAGACATTTAGAAGTTGTTTACCTTTAAAAATAATTGTTTGATAGAGCTTTTCAAAAATCTCAAACCTAGTTTAACGGTTATGATTTACTGGAAGTTAATTTTGTATTTATTTTAGGAAATGGCCACTGAAGAGATGAAAGAGATCCGCCAGAAGTTCACAAAAGAAGGAATAAGAGAAGCTCAAATGGCTAAACAATCAGGAACAGTGACCGCTTTATTTAAATGTAGCAAATGTGGTCTAAGAAAAACTACTTATAATCAGGTAAAGCTAACATCTAGGAGCTATCTCAGTCAAACACTGAACTACAGCAGACTGGCCACATTAAATTTGAAAATGTTCTCCTTCATGAGGGCGAGAGGACTTATTGTTTTATGTAGTTGAATCCAATAGTCGGTCAAATATACAGTATAACTGTAAACAAGTTTTGAATTAAAGTTAAATTTATAATGTAGTGTTTTGGTTTTCAAAGCCTGCAATTTTCACTATTAGTAGGATATAACTCATAGCCTAATAGTAGCTCATCCAATCAGGTTGCAGCATTGGTAATAGACCACTAGTTGGATTTGACTAATACAATATATTTGATTTATCGGAAAACAGAGTTTGCTATAAAATTTGTCTCAATGATAGTAAAATTACAAAGTGTTTTAAAGATTGCCCTTCAACTGACAAAGATATGGAATTTTAAAACTAAGCATTTTTGCAAAGAAATGAATGGGCATTACATGCCCAGTGAGTGTCTTTATCAGGCTGGACACATGAAACAATAGTCCCTTTCACAGTTCCCTGCACCATCTCGAAAGGTAACCTTGGACTGTTTGTCTCGCTTCCATGCCAAAGCATGGCTTCCTTTTAAGATGGCACAGAGAACTGTAAAAGGGACTATATGTAAAAACATATTTTTAATTTTGGTAAATTCATTCAAGATTTGCTAAATTTGATTGCAAAAAAAGCATACAAGTACAGTATATATATTATGTTGGAGTCTATTAACTTATTTGGCATTTTCTTTTTTGTAAAATAGCTACAAACACGAAGTGCTGATGAACCAATGACAACATTTGTATTATGTTTGCATTGTGGGAACAGATGGAAGGTATGTATACTTAATACCACATTAACGTTAGACTTGAAGTACAGTTTGCTATATCCATAACCCTGCCATGGGTGGCATCAACATTCTCTTACCCTCCCCCCACCACCCCTCCCATCCAACTTGCCTTTGCCTTTTGAAATTCTGAAATATTTCAGGGCCACAGGCCCAAAGAATTCTGCACCCTGGAACTGTATATTCTATTGATTGGATTTGATACAAAAATAATGTTTTATTGTCAGAAGACTTGATAATAATTATAAATAATAATAAATTAATTATTAATAATCATTAAAATAAAAGTTGAGAAGAGCATACATATGTTAAAGATATTAGTTTGATTGAACATGTTAAACCTCAGCCAATTGTGGTTATAAAGCGCTTTAAACCGTGTGTTCTTCCTGCGGGAATAAGAATTACAGTTAAGGGAAAGTTCAAAAGCTTAGGGTGAATGGAATCTAAGATAAACCTAAAAACATTTGTGGAAAGGTTTATGAGAACTTCTCGGCTATCATAGAAGACATTCCTACTGAGCCCGGTTGTACGAAGCCTGGATAGCGCTATCTTGCGGATGAATCCTTATCCAGTGGATAAGTCGACTGCTGTTATCCAATAAATTTATCCACTGGATAAGATTTATCCATTGGATAAAGCTATCCAGGCTATGTACAACTGGGCCCTGGCTTCTGGACGACCTACTGATACTTGCATTAACCACATCAACGACTTACTGCACCTTCCACCATACAACAACAACGCTGTAATAACTGACAATCTACCATCAACCTGCTGTTACTTTTAACTTACAACCTACTGTTCACAACCTACTGACATCCTACCAACAAAGTATTGATACACCACAGATACCCTATTGACACCTATTTAGGGGTTTTATCATTTACTATTACCGTTTTGATTATTTACTTATTGTAGTTCACTACAAATGATCGTTTTGCTTCTCCCTACAGTTCTGTTAATAGACAAGTGAAGAATATAGTAGTGGTATGTGTTTCACATATGTTCTGATGTCAATGCATCTGGCAGCAACTAGTATTGAAGGTATAGCTGTTATATATGGTGTGACAATACGCCAAGTGTATTTCTCTCTACTATAACCCTTGGAAACCCCTGTCAGTCAACTTGATATACACTTGATTGTATCTTCCATCTCCAGTTGCTTTGCTATTTTGGTTCCATCTTTCTAATTCTTCTGTAAGCGTATTTCCGAATTTATGACAACAAGCTTTTTAGGATCATTTAGGATTAAGCAGTTGATTTTTCATTTGTAGTGATATAAATAATGTGCTCTCTTTGTTTTGTAAGATATTAAAAATAGAAAGTGATAATATATTTTCAGAAATTTATGTTATGCCAAGACATGCTATGGGCCATTGCATTTTGGAAGATTTTTCAAAAGAAACATTCTACATTCTACAGAGTCTCCCTCCGCTTCCCCTAAAGAAGGGAAGGAAAGAGGAGATAATCTTCTCAAAGGAAACAATAGGCTTTTATGGCTTAGACATGGTGTTTTCTAACCCTGTCACTATTAATCTTACCCAACCTAAAATGCAATGGCTCATTTCCACTTGGTACTTTTTTGTCAAAGTCACAGAAACACCATCTTAATTTCAACAATTGAACTCCTTACCTTAGGAGTAACGTTTACCTATTTCAGAACACATGTTATTATTCTCTTAGGAATAAGATTCTTTGTTTGAGTTGTATCCATATTTACACATCCTCTCATGCACAACCGTTAAACAAAGAAATGATACTCTAGAGAATGACATTTGGTCTGAAATGCGAAAACGTCCAGTCAAGTTAAAAAGGTCTATTATTTTGTGTGTGTTTGTATATATCATGGTTTTGTTTTTCCGTTTTCTATCTAATTTGTGACATATACATATCGTATGAGTTTTGCTGTTAAGAGCAATTTGGCTTAATTGCAGTCTTAAGACACAATAACCCCTTTATTAATAGTAATTGATGTAAAAGGACTCTCTGATGATGTCTTTGGTTTAAAGACTAATAAAAATTAACCTACAGAAAATTATAAATTAACGATATAGAGCTTTTCTATGCACTGTCCACTTATGATTAATGTGAAACAATATATTGGCTGATCACCCCCATCATCTTCATTTCTTCTTACATGGCATGTGATTGGCCTCGGCCTGTGCCAGTATTGGAAAACAATGTTCCAATTTATTGACACTCAAAGTTCTTTTTGTTCATCATATTTGGAGCCTATCATTGATCCACTCCCAAAATATCTTCCACAGTACTTGCAGCGCAATGAGTTGCATAATGCCATAAGGCCTCTTGTTTGTTGTGCGTTCGTCATACACCACTTTTTTCTGCAGTGCTTCATTCTCCATTCTGCAATCATCCACCAAATATTTAAGAAATTGTAAGTGGCAAAAGTCTTGGATGGGCTGAGAGTTAGTAATCTCACATTTCACTATTCATTTGATGTCATTTACAACCTGGCACTTTAGCTTGCCTTCAACTTGTGTTGCTGGGTTAACCAGGCTTCTGTCTATCTTTGCATATCCATCAGACACTATTTTCATCAGGAAACCATTCCTCACTACTTTTAGCTTCTGTAATTAATGAATATATACCATATATGCCTGAGTGCTATAGAGCAAACGAGAGCAGGCACATGCATTTAAGAGCTTTATGCATGTGCTCAAATTGATTTCACAATCATTTATTGCATGCTTGAATTCATTCCACCTCTGAAAGGCAGAGGAGACATTAAGGCATAAAAAAGCAGATGAGTTGTCTGTGTTGTATTTAATAACCCAGTTAGCAGAATAGTTATTCACGGTTGTTAAGGACTTCTCTTAAGGCTGCGTTCATAATGTATGGCAGAGGGGGAGGGGGCAGGTACAATTGAGGGTGGATCGGGAAAATTAATCAAAAAAATGGGGGGATGCACAATTTTTGGAAGAAGCTACAAGCCTTGCTTAGGGGGGAGCGTATTTTTTTGTGTGACTTTAAGGGGGGATGTTAAGAATTATTCTGGACATTTCAAATTTT